GTCTCCCTACCGAATGTGTAAGAGGTGGGTTTTGAATAGAACATTTGTGAAGTATAGAGAGAGAGACTCTCTCTCTCTACCGACACTCAAATTGGGTTGTCGGTCGAGGGTTCCATGTCCCCACCTGCCATGATTTTGCCCTCTCACCTTCTCTCTCTCATTCATGCCTTTATTCAAGAGAACCCCTAACCTCAAAAACAAATAAGATATTTCAAATGATTTCTTGCTCCTACAGGAGTATAGTATCTATCTACTCTTTCAGATAAAACTCAAGCTAAGACCATTTCAAGGATGTAACTTCTCAAACCCAACCATTAAAAGAAAGTTTAAACCATATTTTTTATGTATTTGAAAAAACTAATGTCCAATCATTGCCCAAAATTTTGACAGTAAGATCTAAGTATCAAAGAGCTCAAAACCTAGCTTTTTTTCTATATAACATGTAGCTATTCTTAAATAAAATCCAAAATTTCAGATTTAAAAAATCTTTTACCTCTAAAAATTTCAGATTTAAAAAATCTTTTACCCATAAATAAAAGCTAAGAAGATTGAACGTTGACAAAAGGTAAATTGTTTGATGAGGGTTGGATTGCATTTCTACATAAGCAGTCTAGAAAGCGGAAAGCATCCATCTTAAAGATGAATGCAAGCGGGTGTTCTATCTAAAAACAATAAAAACTAACTGTCTAAATGTTTTTTTACTAAAATTATTATTTTTAGCTTTTAAAATTTATTTATATTTTCAAATTTATTATTTCCATGTTAATGATTACATATTCTTAAAAATTAAATCTTAAAATCCATCTCAAAAAGTAGATTTATTAATAAGACCGCATTTTTACATATGCGGGCTTGGTCGCATGAAAACCGGGTCCTTGACAAAATCAGAGTAAAAGTTTAGAGAGAAAAAGAGCTTTTGGAAAGCTTGGGTAATGATCACTGAGTTACTTATTTTTTCTTAGTGTGTAATTTGCTCAATGAGTCTTCAATTGTGTCATTAAGTAATGAGAAGGAGCTCATGACAAGGAATTAGACCTAACAGACAAATAAAATAAGCCATCTGTAAATAAAATGAAGTTAAAATGAACAATTAATAGTGATTGTAACATTCAAAATAATAATAATAATAATAATAATAATAATAATAATAATAATAATAATAATAATAATAATAATAATAATAATGGTGACTGTGGGCCTGTCCAGCCTGTGTTGAGTTGAGAGTTGAGAGTTGAGCTGAGCTCTTTTGCTTGTGAACCCAAAACAAGAGGGAGAGAGAGAGAGAGGAGGCATCTTTATGGACCCATATATCCACCTACCATGTGCATTCTGAGCCGTTGGATCTAGAGAGAAAGCAACATCTTGCCTGTGAAGGTGGTAGAGAGGAGGGAGGGCTTGCCTTGTAATCCAAGCACCAGTGGGGTGGTCTTTCGGATCTTTCATCATCTCTCTCTCTTCTCAAATCTCTTCATTGAAGGTAAGCTGTTGCCTAGATCTCTCTGGTCTTTATATCAACCCCCTCCCTCACTCTCTCTCATCTCACAGTCACATTTCAGCTTTTTCTTTTGAGCTTTTGGGCCAATTTCTTTCTTTACTGAACCAATCTATTGAACCCCATATTCTCATTCTTCTCTCTCTAAAACTCTTGAACCCCATTTTCTCGTTTCTCTCTCATTAAGCTTGCCCAATTGTAAATTTCTGCAAGGTAAGCCATATCAGGACCTCATCGCCTCTCTCTCCCAGACATTTTGAACCCCATAATTACCTTTGAAAATTCCCATTTTCTCTCCTGATTTACCAGATTCATAGCATAAAAAATCTCCATTACATGTCCATAGTCTGTTATCTTCTAATCTAGCAACCCCCACATTTCCCTTTCCAAGAGTTTTAAGTTTTTCCACCCCCTCTCTCTCTCTCCCCATCTTATAACTAAATTCCTTCTTCTTCTTGTTTTGGTATTTTTGACAGGGAGAGAATTGGAATGGGGATGAAATGGATGCTTGTTTTAGTCACTTTGGGCTTATTGTTGGGCCTGAGCTCAGGCGCTAAGAAGAAGACATGTGATAAGGGGTGGGAGTGCAAGGGCTCCATATATTGCTGCAATGATACCATCTCAGACTTCTTTCAAGCGTACCAGTTTGAGAACCTCTTCTCCAAGAGGAATGCCCCCGTTGCCCATGCTGTTGGATTCTGGGATTACAAATCATTCATTCTGGCGTCGACCCAGTACCAGCCCCTCGGCTTCGGCACCTCTGGCGGCAAGAAAATGCAGATGAAAGAGGTCTCTGCTTTTCTCAGCCATGTTGGCAGCAAGACTTCCTGTATGTAAAATTTCTCCCTTCCTCCATTCAATTTTTTAATAATTATGAATCGGTGCGATGTGGGGCTGGATCTCAGTAAATTGTGGCAGCAATGCTAATTTTACACTTAACATTAATCTGTATTTAAGTTGTATAACCTGTATTCAAGTCTTCTGCAAACGATTATGCTTTCCGCATGATGGGATTTGCACTGCAAGGGGACCCCCACTGCCGGTTTGCAGCCTGAGGCTTCACCTTTCTCTGACTGAAGTTCAGAGACCCATATGCAACCAGACTGCATCTCTCATTCTTCTTTATTCTTTTGAAAATCTCCAAGGATTGGAGTGGGGAAGGAATGTGTAGGATTGCTTTCTAATCTATTTGCTCCTTGACATTTTCCTAAAGAGATTTGGGATGGGGATGTAGAATGAATCGTTCTTTTGGCTTTTTTAACTGTGCAAGAGATCGCAAATGTGATATTTTATGTTTTAGGGATCTTTCTGCTCCGTGATCTGTATTTTCTCTGGCTTATGCATATGCTCTGGCTGCTCTTTCACAATTAAGAGATTAGAAATGTCTTGTATTCTTTTCACGATTGGCTTTATTGAAACCAAATTATTTACTTTCTCAAATTATTTAGTTTGTCACTTGCACTTAATTTTGTCGCACTAATCATAAGAAAATTTGACCTGGTTTTGATCGGATCAAGAATCACGAAACCCTGTTGCCCTTAAGGTATTTGGGATATTGGCATAATGGTGAATGTGCAATAAACCCAAGCCTAGTATCCATGGTCGAATTCTAGATCTTAATTATCTTGTAAATTTGTTCACTCATATTCTGCTCCAATATTTGTATATCCAGTCTTTGGAATTGTTGCTGAAATTAGGAATGGGGCTTGGTATTGAATTTTTTTTTTATGGACGGAACTCGAAATTAAGAATTGGGCCTAGGCTTGATGTTGATGATTGCAATGCTACATCCCAAGTTCAATTCCTACCACTGAACTATGCAAAGAGGAAAATAATCGTGGAATTGTTTCCTTCTCCTCCGGAGATTAGAAACAGTTATCAGTCCTAGTTTTAAAAGCTAGCAGCCTATTACCATTTCAAATCCTTTCAGGTGGGTACAATGTGGCGACAGGAGGTCCATATGCTTGGGGCCTTTGTATAACCACGAAATGAGCCCGAGCCAGTCCTACTGTGATCCAAACTACCTCTATCCTTGTGCACCTGGAGTCGATTATTATGGCCGAGGTGCCATTCCTGTCTACTGGTATGCGAGCAACATCACAAATCTGAAAAATTTTGAACATGAATTGTATGCGATGAATTTTGTTAATGGGTTGTGTATGTGTTGTGATGACATTTTATTTTGACAACCAGGAACTACAACTATGGGCGCATTGGTGATGCATTGAAGGTAGATATATTGAACCACCCTGAGTATTTGGAACAGAATGCCACCCTTGCCTTCATGGCCGCTATGCATGAATGGATGACCCCAAAGAAGAAGAACCAGCCTTCAGCCCATGATGCTTACGTCGGGAACTGGAAGCCAACCAAGAACGATACATTGTCCAAAAGGCTTCCGGGTCTTGGGATCACCATGAACATTCTCTATGGCGATCAGGTTTGTGGGCAGGGGTCAGTTGATTCCATGAACAATATTGTCTCCCACAATCTCTATTACCTCGATCTCATGGGTGTTGGCCAGCAATACTCTGGTGAAAATCTCGACTGTGCAGAGCAGGTTCCTTTCAATCCATCCGTCAAATCTGCAACTTCTTAAGCATACCTCGTGCATGGGCAATAAGCAGTGAGCAATTGGATACATGCAAATTATTGGTTTCTGTATGCTATATTGGATACACTCTCTCTGGATGCATATCAGTTTGATGTCAGTGTTGTTTTGTATGTAGTAGTTTGTGTGTTCATAGGATTTATTTTCTGTGCTATGGAATGGTGATTACCATGTCCATTGCCAGATTGTTGGATATGGAAAAAGACTCTTTACATTGATAGTTTTTTATGAGCCCTCCCCTTCTCTCTCTCTATGTTGGGAAATTTGCTGTTTTGCCTTGTGTAGAAAAATGTTTGTCCTGTGGATCTGTTATTGTGCTGTGGCATGAAAAGTTTTTGCCTCAGTACTGTCTTTTTTATATTAAGACTTCTGAATTGGTATATTAGAATGATGGGGAGGATCTGCATCTTCGCGTCTCTAGTCTTCGAAAAACCGGACTAATGCTGATCATCTCTAAATCCCGAATGTGGGCTGTGTTATTTCCTCTGCCCTTCTGGGGTGTAAGCTAGACGGGTCCGGCCGGTCCATAGTAGACTCGGCCTTGATCCGGACACCATTTGTTGATTGGACCTAGATTAGACCTATTGAGTCAGGTCCGGGTTGTATATATATTGTGTATATATGGATTTTTCTATTGTTAACATCCCATAGAATTCTATAAATTATATTTTAGAACTTGTGAACCATCAAAATTGTTTTAATTGCCCCTTTCAATATTATGTGGTTGCAAAATAATTAAGGGCATATTTGTCATTAGAAAGGGCATCGTTGATATTTGTATTAAAAGATAAATTTTTATTATCTCGTTAAAATTTTTGAAATTTTTATTAAAAGACAATAGCATTTATATTAATAAAATACCTAACATTTCATTCTATTTGCTTTTTAGTGTATATATATATATATATAGGGAAAGGATCCTATCAGCCCACGAGCTGACAATGTGTTAGCCAACGGCCTAGATCAAATTTGGGCCCGATCCAATAGTTACGACTTCATTTCGTGTTTTAATTTTTATACAAATTTAAATCACTTGAAATTTTGAGCATCTTTGTTTTAAAGATAGGATAATCTAATAAAAATATAATACAAATAATTTGTAAAATATAAATTGACCAAAATACCTCCAAAACGTTTTGGGGCATTGTGATCAATTATTATTTTACAAATTATTTAGGTGTGTCTTGATGAGAAAAATGAACGTCTAAATTTCAAGTGATTTGGATTTGTAGAAAAAAAAAAAAAATTTCAAATACGAAAATGAGGTTGTACTGTTTTATCGGTCCAGATTCAATCAGGACCATTGATTGATACTGTAGCTGTCAGCCCGTGGGCTGACGGAATCCATTAAATAATCAAATTAAAGTGCACTTCAAATGCAGTTATGTCTGGTGAAAACTTATGGCGGATTGAAAACCTATTTACAACGCTAATTATGAAATTTAAAGCTTAAAAGTGGATGCTGATCAAGTGGATCTATAAACACTTACCGTATAGAATGTTAAAAGAGGGGCCATATAAAATATTAAAAGAGGGGCTATGTTTAGGACTTGAAATCCCTTTTTATTTTTTTATATTTTTTAAGATAAATTTTTTAGGCACCCCTTACTTCAAAAGTATATGGTTGATGCCTATTCTCTCTATTAAAAATTCTATGCAATTCTAAACGAGATATATTGTCCAATTTTACCCAGGTTTAAATGAGAAACACTCATTCTTGCCATTGCTCACTCCTTAACATTGCGAAAGAACCCCATATCAAGAAATACTTTTTACACATAAAAATGGTGCATGATCATCAATGCAGCCTGAAAGAGAAAAGAGAAAAGAAGAAGGACAATAAATTAAAAATAAATAAATCACTCTTCCTTCACAAGTAACATCCATGGAGAAACCAAGGTTAAGCTCTGATTGCTTCTTTACCCTCTTTGTCAAATCAATGAACGCCAATGCATGTCATGGGCCGTGCATCTTCAAGTTCGGATCATCAAAAAAAAATGATTGTTGTATATGCATGGAGAGTGATTTTACAAAACAGTTCTATAGTAATATAACGAAAAAATATTAGGGTCATTTGTTTGGGTTCAATTTTTAAATACTTTTCATTTTGAAGATAAGAAAAAGGCACCCCAAAAAGTGATTTTGTGACTCACTGTACATAGGTCATCTATTTGGTGAGATAGACCTTAAAAGGAATCTTTTTTCTTTTCCAAAGTTTTGGAGGGTCTTGCTAGCATTAGATGAATAATATTAAAAAATAAAAAGTAATTTTGAATTCCTGAATACTTAGAATTTAATATTTATCAAATGGACTGTCTAAATTCATTGTCCAAGGTGCCTCATTTTGACCATATCTAAAGTACGAACTGATTTTTTTTTTTTGATTAATTATTAAGATGAAAAGAGTGTATATACAAAATTTGATCTTATAAAAATACTATAAATATAGTTTTCTAAAAATATGGTTTTATTATATTATAATGACATGAATTAGTCGAAAGCAAATAAAACATATGCTTAGATTTATAAAAGGTTAGCAATAATCTATTTCTTGATGACCTGAAACTTGAGGCACAGCCTCTAGCAGGCAATGATATTCATATATATAAATATATAATCTGCAAGCCCAACCCTTGAATTTATAAAAGTTCATGTGAAAAAGTAATGTAAAAGGTAGATTTAAAAAAGCTTGCTTTTTTAGCAACTTTCTAACTAAAAAATGGTGTACACATTATTATAATTAAGAGACATTGAGTGATTTTGTCATCTTTATGATGAAATTTTACTGAAAGATAACGGTATTATACTGATAAAGTTCTTGGACACTGATTTTCAAATTAGCATTATACTTATGTGAGAATTTCAAATACACCCTTAATAACCAAGTTACCCCTAGGAAATAAATTTTTAAACATAATGACTTTTTTTGATGAATCACAACCTATTCAAATACTAACTTTTGTAACTTATTCAAATACTAACTTTTGTATTTTGAAGAGTTGTTAACTACAAACAAATATATATTTATTGGCCAAACATAGGCCTGACAACTCAATAGTTAATATCTAATATCTGCGCTTTATATTATTTTTGATATTTTTTTGGCAAATCTTTTTGACTTAGAATTTCTTGGCGAGATAAGTACCTGGCCTAAAGTGGACTCGAACCCATGTAACAATATTTTAGCAAATCTTTTTGATATCAATAGAGATATCTTGGGTCAAGTGGACTCGAACCCAACCTACTGGTCTAGTCTCTTTCTTTAGAAAATTTATCAAGAAGATATTCATGAGAGATGTATTATTCAACAGGTGATCATGTGCATTTAGATCTGTATTTTGAAATTACATCAATCAATATAAGTAAAATGTTAGGGGTGCAATTTGTACAAGGATGCAACTTTAAACAATCAAAATAAGGTGTACTTTCAAATTTTATCCTAAAATTGCTAAAACAAATTCCAAGATGACTTGAGAATTTATATTTATCTCTAATTATAGACTACAAAACTAGCTCAAATTAAGTAGGTCTATAAGCATATGAAAATCTTGAAAATAGACTTTCTAGATGATGTGTTGCAATATATTATTTTTAAATAAAATTACAATTTTTTATAAATATTTTTCAAATATAAAATAATTCTTTACTCGTATAAACTATGATAAAATATAAAATACTCCATCGCTCGTAGGTATTTCTGCTCTCTCTACAGGCTCGGGTCCTACCGCTCCAAATTAAACGGAGGCCGAATCTTCCCTCTCATTGGCCCATGTCGACCGCCCAGCCACTTTCTTTATTACCAAAATCGGCCTCGTAGTTTTAAGTCGGTTGAGTTTGTCTAAGTCGTAAATGTTAAAAAAGATATGAAAGGTAATAATTTTTTTTTAAATAAATAAATTTATTTAGAATATGTAGTTTTATATTTTAAATTATTTTGACATAAATTAAAAAGTATTTTGGTTGTAAATAATATTTTGATATTTTTTAGATTATTTTAAATTAAAAAGTATACAAAAAGACAATTTACTTTTCATACAAATAGGTCACAATTATTCTTGTCCATCAGATCTCAAATCGAATAGTTGTAAAAGTGTCATTGACTAGACTCAAAATTCAAAAAAAAATAAAATCTCGAAACTTCGTGAAACATTTCAAACCATTGAATTTGACATCTAATGACTAGAAATAGTTGCGACCTCCTTGTAACAAAAATAAACGGTCTCATAGTAATATACAATCCTTTTTTAAAAATGGATCCGGTTTCCATGCGGTTAAGCTCACATATGTAGAAATGTCGGCCTCTTAATAAATCTATTTGGATGGATTTTAAGACTTAATTTTTAAAGACATGTAATCTCTAACATGGAGATCAAGAATATGAAAAAATAAATAATTTTTAAAAGCTAGGAATAATAATTTTAGTAAAAAAACATTTGAACGGTTAGTTTCTTTTTTTTAGATGGAACACCTACTTGCATCCCTACACTTTCTAATTTGCATACGTAGAAATGTGGTCCAGCCCGCATAAGAAATATCTCCAGTCACAAGTTTATTTTTTAGAATTTATTTTTACTATTTCATAATATTATTTTGAAATATTTTACATAATTTATTTTTAAACATATATTTTTTATTCTATAAAAAATTTTATTTTATTTACTGGTGAGCACTAATTGACCAAAAGGTACTCAGCTCTGGCCACGACCGATTACTCGTTCCATTTCGCATTTTATAACACTGCACGCAGGTTGCCCCCACCAAAAAATCCAGTTTCCATTGTGTCAAAAAATCAAGCAGTTGGCAGGTTTCGGCTGAACATAAATCTATACACCTCTCTCTCTCTCTCTCTCTCTGTAAACACACCTCTTCTCTCTCTAGCTGGTTGAGATATGTATAGAACCCTGTTCTGATGCCACGACCAGCGACCCCCTCTCACTGCCACTCTCAGGGAGAGAAGACTGCCGTCCTCTCTTAAATCCACACCGGACCGGCAATTTGCTTCATCATTATCATCATCTAAACCCGACAGCCACCCGACTTCGATGACGAGAGATACCACGCCTCGCTCCAATTCCACCTCCACGAACCATACGCCTCTCTCCACACCCACTGCATCCGTGGCTGGCACCACCACCATCAACCTCAAGCGAGAGTTCGCACTTGCCACCCAGACCAGCTCCTACCATGACATATGGACAAAGATACATTCCGCCACCCACGTTGCGACCCCCTCTGAGCTCCTCCAGCCAGGCCGCGACGCCATCAACGAGGCCCTGCACAACACCAAGCCCTTATCCTCCTCCATGGCCACCCTTGCCTCCCACTACTTTCGCGTCACTGAAGAAGCCTTCTCCCTCTGCCTTTCCCTCCAGTCCTCGGCCACCTGCACTGCCCTGCTCTACGCTCCCCTCCGCCAACTCCTCGACATTTTGCCTCATCCTGCTCTTGACAACAACAGCATTAACCTCTCTCCCCCACAACTCATATTCGCCAATTGCCAATTCCTCGCCTTCCGTGAATCATTCGAGAACCCATTCCCGCACCCTGGGACCAAGCCCTTCTCCTGCCTCTGTCAGCATTTCTCCGACCTACGTCGTGACCTCGACCGTGACCTACGCAGGGCACGCCGCAAGCTCAGCCTCATCCACCGAACTACCCGAACCTCTGCCCTCTGCCTCATTGGCATCACCTTGGCGGTCACGGCAGCCGCCGTCGTGCTCTTCACTCACGTAATTGGAGGTGCCGCATTGACGGCTGCTGCTGCATCCACAGGACCGTCTTGCTTCTCTCGACGGTCAGCCAGCTTTGCAAATAGATCGTTCTGGACGGTGAGGCGGAACGTGGCCCAGCTCGACACTGCCGCCAAAGGGGTCTACGTCCTCAGCTACGACCTCCACACCATAGAGAGGTTGGTGATAGGGGTTTATGAGACTGTGGAAGGCGACAGGACGCTCGTCAGAATGGGGGTGGAGAGGGGGGAGCACTCTTCCATGGTGATTGGAGAGGTGGTGAGGCGGCTGAGGAGGAGCCAGCGCAAGCTAACACAGCAGCTGAGGGACCTGGAGGAGCACCTCTGCCTCTTCATGGCCACCCTCAATAGGGCAAGGTCCTCACTCTGTGACTTGGTGAATTCATGCGCACTAAAATCTTCTGGATTACAGTATCAACATTGTCATATTTGGGACACGTGACATGTGCTATCCAGGTGAAACTACCTTTCATAAAATGCAGCAAACAGTATCAACATAACTGACTATCAACCATAGGTTGATTCAAGAAATAGCTCTCTTTCTCTCTCTCTCTCTCTCTCTCTCTCTCTCCTCCCTCCCCCTCCCT